TCGTCAGGGATATATGCAGTAAACGGGCCGATAAGAAACAAGCCAAACTTCGAGAGACTTCAAATGACATGAAGCCACGGTTGAAATTACCAACTGATCCAGATCGGTACGTTCACAACTTTTCCTGTTTGACTATGGACACAATATTATTGGAAGCGCTATCGTTAGGATTGAATCTCTGCCGTCCCTTACATAGAGATAATCAATTAGAAGTCGAAGTTCAATTTGAAAATTTGTACTCACAAACTACCTCACCGACAGCGACAACAAAGGAAGCGGTCGGACATTTCAAGGCTACCGTAGTTGACTGTTCTTATCAATATCGTAGGACAAAGGAACCCCGTAGGAGTCTCATGAACAAGAAACACTATGAAGCACTGAGAAACCTCAGACAAAATGAAGATATCGTAATTGCAAGACCAGACAAAGGCTCAGGGGTCGTTTTACTTAATCGAGCGGATTATGTGAATAAAATGAAGAACATTTTGGGGGATCGATTAAAATTCCGAAAAAACGAACGGGGAAAAAGACAAAACTAAACTAACAGAAGAACGAATCACGTCATCCTTGAAAAATCTTCGAGACCAGGATATAATTCCCAAGTCTACCTACGAGAAACTAAGGCCCACTGGCACCTTTATTCCTCGCCTATACGGTCTACCCAAAGTGCATAAACCGGGCATCCCATTGAGACCAATCATGTATATGAGTGCGTCTCCGTATCACCACGTCGCTCGATGGCTAGTTGAATTATTAGAACCCAACCAGATACCAGAAACAATCACAAACCACGAATCACACACAGCCACTGACGACTATTTTAATTTTAATTTTGACTATATAACTGTATTAGACTGAAGAAGAAGTTGTCGAAAACGAGCTTGTTCGCTAAAACCACCGTGTTTCCTCTCCATGCCTAGATGGGAATTTTCCATGATTAATTCCTATTGACAAAGCAGTGGCTTCTCAGGAGTTGAATGTACCAAGCCATGGAATCTGCAACCTAGGGGTACAATGCTTCGAAGGATTTCTTTACCATGTCTTATTCGCCCTATACAAAACGAAATCCATCACCTTGTTACAATAATCAAGTAGTAAACCCCAACATGAAAGTGCAACTTACAAGCTTTCATCAAAAAGAAATACAAACCGGCGTAAAACAATACCTCGGAGAAAAGCCATATTCTCCTTGGCTTCATTTCAAACGAACAAAGTTCTCATAGTTGAAAGCGGTTTCCATTCTGGAAAAGGTCCTTCTGCATCAAACCCGGTACGCGAGTCCAATCGGCCAAGTAATTAACGAAATATTCCAGTATTAAACAAATGAAGGATCTCATTTCACCATAATTCACAGCCCTTACAACTGCTGCTGTCTGATTTTTGCTTACGAACAACAAATCCGATGTTTGAATGAATTTGGGGAAAACGCTTAATTGCCCCCCCCCCGCCAGCAGCCCAGCAAGGCACCATCGATATGAGCAAGAAAAAAACCAACTGCATCTGGCCAATAAAATAACAAGATGTAAAATCAGAAAGAAAAAGAACGACACGATCGACTCGTACGGCAATGACTGATTACAGGTGACAAAATCCCATCGATTAGTGTGGATTGAATTGAACTTGATAGATGTGAAAACAGGAGGAATTTACAACCAGTATAGGAACAGAACCGACCACCAGGGAAGAAACATCGCAATGAAATCCCTATTGACGGCACGACAACAAAGAGATTTGGAGCTTACCTTGGAGAAAAGATGGTCAAACGGCAATTGGGGGTCGGAAAATTCCAAATTATCAATGAAGAACCGTTGGGAAAGGAATAAAAGAGATTAGAGGATAACAGACGGGAATTTGGAATAAAAACATTATCGGAAATTCAAAGAGTGGAACCTAATCAGACAGAAGTGTACTAGTGACGAGTGGCGAGTTGGTGCGGGAAGATATTACTTCCAACAGTATCACAATGAATTTCGGTGCAAAAGAACGTTGGAGCCGCATCTCACGTACGCATACATACCGTGATACTCGTGGTCAGCCAGCGGATGGTTAAAGGACCAAAACCAAAGCGTCAGGTAATTGATATATTGGTCCATTATACATCGATCTGTCTCTTTAGTCTTCACTGTGCAAACAGTACAGAAACGGAAGTCATAAACCGCTGATACATTGCATAGACTTTCTTATTTGTCCTGACCTCGGTAATGAAAACTGAAATAAAAATCAGCTTTGTTTCTTGCGAATTCGAGCTTGTGTGCCACCCGTGCGAGCTGCGGACTGGCTGGAGTCATCCTCACCCCAGCTCAATGTTGTCCAGTCATCGTTACCTTTATCACCGGAATCCCATCCGGTTGTCGAACTGTTCCAACCTGAATGAGAGAAATTAAATTAAAAAATCCGAGAGAAAATGATGGAGATTTCGCACTGCATACAAGAGGATTTGAAACAATTAGTTTAGGGTAATCCAGAAATAGTAGTTAGTATATTACCGTGGCCGGTGTCCATGGGCACTAGCATACACGTCTGCACATCTTGGATAAAGAAAACTAACAAGCTGGTAAATTGTGGACAGGTATCACATTGAATCTCCATTAGTCTCTGAGCTTTTATGAAGTTGTCTAAGGAAATCGTGCATGATGCACCAACAATGCAGTTTTTAGTGAGTAATGGAGGATTTGATTCAATTTCCATCTTAACCATCACTACCATATCTAACATACTGAAGTTCCTGTCGGGGTCCGATAAAAAACCAGTAACTAGTTCGATTTGCATACTGTTTCTGAAAACCTGCATTTTCAAAGGTGAATTGGTCGTGTATTATAGCAAATGAAGCGTGAACTGAAAAGCCAGGAAGGACTGGACAGCTGTTTCGACCTGGTTGGGTCTCATCAGCAGTGCGAATCCATCGACCCAACTGGGGATCGAACCCGGGATCTCATGGGCAGAACGCAAGCATGCTTCCTGGCTTTTCAGTTTACGCTTCATTTGCTATATACACGATGAATTTACCTTTGATATTGAATCAAATCGTCCATTATTCACTAAGTGATCCCTGGGAAATCAATTTGTACGAAGACCGACCAAGCGTGTGCATGAATTGTTTTATCCAGGCACGTGTTTCCACATTTCTAAAAGACGCTGCAGCCTACCGTATAGATGAACGAGTGACTATAACACCAAGTTGGAAATCGCCATCATTGTGAGAACGTGCGCACAGGTCATTGGAACGTCAGAAGGATGCATGATCTGTACAGACACTATACTCTACGAGTATGGACAATGTCTCTGTCTAATACATGATCTACCCAGTTCATGGGAAAAATCGAAGTGCCATAAACCAATGACAGATTAGTTGTATCATATACTATCGACCGATAAAGTCGATCTACGGACCGGATCACCAGTTGTGAGCACGTGAATGAAGAATGACGCAATCTGGTCACCATCTGGTCTTAAAAGAGTGATCGCCCTACAGATCAGGTGGTCAATAACAAACGTTTTGATCACAGCAGTTTAGATACAACTGTTGTTGTCGGATCACAACGGCATTGTTAACCGTACACCTCTCACCACTAGAGACCGAGTATTATGAGTATTATCTCTTAGGACAAGTCGGCATCAATATAAAATGTATTTCCGACTCTGAAACAACTGACGAATCGAACCTATCGGTTGTCCGACACACACACACATATACACACTTCCACAAAAGTGAACCATAGGCATGGGTAATCGATGGTGATCGCACCGAAACCGTATCGGTTGCCACTAATCCAAAGCAACTTTTCAAATCAACGAGTGAACAGAAAGCGAGGCTCAAGAGCGGAGTCAAAAACTGTAGAGATGAACCGAACATTGATCAGTTGTCAAATCAATGGCAAATGCAATCCAGTATTTTTTTCAATGTCCTGTCACAATGGAATGGAATTCATGGTGATTCGCCCTACTGACAGTGCCGTCGGATCACACTAAAACAATTCGAACATCTCGATTTTGCATATTAAATCCAACTGAAATGTACGCTTTACGCCTGTAGAAGTTATAATTACAATTACATATCTTACAAAAGAACAGCAAGCCAGAATTGAGAATGGACGTTTGAAACGGAATGAAACCCTTCAGTCGTCAGCCGGCAATCTGTACTAAAGATATATACCAACAACATAAAAGATTGCATCACAGAAGAGGCTGTGTCGTGCACATCTTACTGCGTACTCCAGAAGATAGGTATTGTCTGTTTCGTTGATCTTTCCCCAGAAATACATTGAAGACTAACGAAGCATTGAAAAAACTGATTTTTTTAAATACTTAATTTCCTTCCCAGCGCTGAGCATACTTGGTGTTATACTGCAGGGTCTGAAAATATCAACTTTATCAATCGATTACATCGTCGATCGGGTGACGGAGCGCGTAATTTTCTTCGGAATAAATATTCGGTGATGAAAATGGAATTCATTTGGTTTATTTAAAAGCCGAACGGTTCTTACAGTTCTTACAATCAAAGTGGTCGCCTCGTCCTCGTGAAAAACACCAACAGGATGAAGTGTATGTGCAGGTTAAGTGATGAAGCTATTCAGAAACAATTAAACTAGCGAGTATCGGGTTGTTAGATGAGGAAACCTTAGGACAGAGGTAAACAATTATTTAGTAATACTGATCACGACTGTGGTCAAGCGGTGCATGTCACCAACATATTGCCCAGAGGGACGTGTTCGAATCCCAACAGTGCCGCTCAACTTTCCTTGTTTCTACATAAAGGTATCCCTTTGATTGGCCGCTTCACCCTTCCTGAAAATTATTTGTATCATTTCATGTTCAATAAAAGGAGGTAAAATGAAAAATAAGGATAACTGAGGGGCAAGGCAAATTCTATACAAACCGTTATTGACAGAAAGAACGACCCCAGCGTTAACGAAAGCAGACAAAAAAACTATTAAAGACGGGAAAAAATACGTTCTAGTGGCTCGCTCATGTGAATACAGGCACGCTTAGTGATCCTGAAGTCGGGAGACAGATGCAGTGTATCAGAGTCAATCAAACCGGAAAGTAGATAAACTGCGACAGGTTACGCCTGAGTAACTACTGCGCCCACTCGATGTTCTTCAAACAGAAATTAACGGTTTCAGACTATAGAAATCCACTGACTGTAAAATTCAGTAAGCAATAAGCAGAATTTATCCGTTCACAGAAAACGCTGGGTCGAATCCAACATGAAAATGGATCTACTGAATGAAAGGTGCAAATTGTTTTTGTAAACAGCTACCTATTCGGAAGTTCACATTATCAAAACATCGTAGTTTCTCCCCGATAAATGAATCACTCAAGCTAAGCTATAAAACTTTGTTAGTGGAATCTAGGTTTCACGTTCAATGGATCAAGGAGTATATAGGGTAGGTCTAAGGGATTGGAGTTGGATTTCTACCGGACTTAGACAACATTCAGTTGGAGATAATAATTACGTGCTAGTGTTTCTGTAGTGGTTCCAGCACCCCAGTAATCCAAAGCAGATTTATTACAAGTGGTTTCACAGACGATCAGCCGAATATCACACGTATTCCATGTGGGCTTTCTGTGGTTTACCGATACAAGTTCCAGGGCTCATATTCTATGCGACTGTCACTCTTCCATAAATATAAATAATATGGATAAAATAGGTTTATTTAATCTGGAGTGAACTGCATAAACACGACGATCTGCTGTCTGGGCATGAGGACCAGCGAGTAAAGCACTGAAACTGGAAGAAAC